GGCAAGGGTTTTATTAAGATGCTGCAGTTTTCAAATATTAATTCTTTGAGCACAAACTAGGTGATCAGTAAAAGTTATCCATCTATTATCAGAAAGCTTATCCTGGTGAAGGTCGCAGGCAAGTTGGAGCCTATCCTGGAAAGTATAGGGCACCACGCCAGGGCTCGAGCACGTAGCTGCTCTTTCCCTGGATGGGTTTCCAATCAGAGAAAGGAACAATTCAGAACAGAGACTCAAACCTGGCCCACGTGCCTTCGGAAGGAGGGAATGAATCGGAGTCCCCATAGAAAACCCACACAGACTCTACACAGAGACAGGTGCTCGAGATCAGAAACCTCCCCAGGACTGTGGAAGCAACACCCTCATTACCAGGCCATCTCCAAAAATAAATCACAAAGCCGCAATATTCACATTCACATTCACTGTTGGGAGCGTATAATCTGCAATATCATCATCCAACTCTTCAGCCGGACTTGAATCTAAACTTTTTTTGATATAGTGTAGAAACAATAAACAGTATATTAATCATTCAAAACTGTTGGAAGCGCGTGACAAAATCAGAGTGGAGGCTGAACCTTTTCGCTGCATGGTCTTGTGTAAACACGAATCAGGCTTTTTTCTCACTTCAATTCACTGTGGGCCAACAAACGGACTACCGTGATGTATTGTAATGAGGAAGTCTTTATTTCAAAACGACTTTGGCTTCTGCCTGTCATTTGGTGGATGCACAGTGTGGGCCACTAATCTTCCACTGCTTCATTTAACATCACAGAATTACCATTGTGATTTTAGCTAAATTACAGTAAAACATGCCCAATAATCTGAACTGAAATTGGTGGGAGTGATTTCACTGTTTTTGTCTTATTTAAATGTCTTGGTCACAAAACGTGTTACAGCATATGTTACAGATTCGAAGAGATACAATATTTCCTGTGGTTTCTTTTGCAAGCCAGAAAGTAAAAACACTGTAGCCTAGCAGTCATTTCTCACTTTGAGTCACAGAAGTTTAATCTGCTTCTTGGGGGAAAAAAAAACGTTCCATTCTGTAAGGTGTATCAAACACATTCAAATCCAAGACATTCTCTTTAACCAACAAACCTATAAAACCCCACAAAAGAAGGTATATAGATACCTTCGGCTGGAAACTCACTTCAAGCAGATGAAGATCATCAAGAACAAAACGAAAAAATGGTCTATAGATACAATTCATTGTATGCAATGGACCAGTCACCTGATTTAGCTCAGTGAATTCAGAAAGACAATGTTAGACAGGCTTTGAATAAACCAGTATTAAAGGGGAATCTAACACAATGACACTTCGAATGGATACTGCATTGTTTTTCCTGTCTGAAGCCAAATTATAGATATTCCTCACATGTGATTTTTAAGTTAAAATTATTTGGAAGGAAAATGTAATGCAGAAATACCTTTACAAGAGGGTGCGTTCTCAAGTCAGGCACAAGAAAGGAAACAAAATCTTCTAATACTGCACTTTGGATCATTTCACCACATAAGTGCTGTGTGCTTTTTGAAAGCCTCTTTGTCAATTTAAATATGCAATACTGGCTTGTTTTGTTACAGCTAATACAATTTTCATGTTCGGTCACTGAAATATTCATGCTTCGTTATTACAGCAGATCTGATATTCCAGTGTTTCAGCTGACATTCAATTCAACCATTCTGCAATACACATTTCACACAGGAAATTACGCTAGCACGACAAGAACAAAAACAAAATCTTTCCTGGCAAGAAACATTCCTAAGAAAGCAATCGTTCTACGATTTTTAGTACAATTTCTTATGGTTCTCATCTAGACAACATTAGTTAATAACTGAAACCTCCATAACAATACAAAGACGTACACCAAAATCGCAGTGCTAAAAGAAGCTATACTGAAAGTATTCAATGCATGAGTAAGATTATGTAGAATTGGCCACCATGTTACAAAAAGAAGACAGAACGGGAGTTCTGAGAAGAGACCTGGAATAATTCCCAGACTAGAAGGAATGTCGAAAGTCAAGATAAAACAAACGACAGATTTTCAAAATCAAGACGAGAACTGACCAAGTCACCACACAAAAACGCATCAGACTCAAAGCTGAAAAAACTTAAGACTATTTAGACTGAACATCAAACAAAAGGTACATTGCACAGTTGCGGGTATTGGGAACTAACTGCTATGCCATGTTATTTAAAGTCTTTCGTGGAGTGGCTGAATGAATTTCTAAGATACTACTAACCAAACATGCAAGACGTAATTAAAGGCCTTTCTGTTCTTCATAGATATGTTAGATCACAAGGCATGTATCTTGCCTGCTCACCATGAATCCTGTCCATGCCGAGTTACAGTGTCTGGCTGTACTGTAAAAACTTAAATTTATTCTGTGAGAAAGTCATCAGCCATTTCATCCAGCAAATCTTAGCTCTGCGTCATCTGCCTATGCAACATAAATCACATATATGGAATTATCTGGATGGGTAAAACTCACGCTCCTAGGTTTGATTCTAAACTGGGTCACCTTGTGTGTGAAGTTGTCATGCTTTCCCAGGCACTATATGCAATTTCTCCAGATTTTCCCATTTCATCCCACCTCCTAAAGACAAAACAAAAGTGGCGAACGAGAGGAGACTCTTCAGTCCATTTAGCCCATGTGGTAGTTATTAGCTTATCGATCACAGAATCTCATCCAGCCCCTTTCTCGAAAACGTTTAACAACCCCACTGAGCACTGAGCTTTCACACAAGTGGGTTTTTGTAATGTTTCTTCAATGTATTTTGTCCCTACTCATATCAATTTATTATCACATCAAAAATAGTTCTAGTAGTATGCAAAAAGGCGGAAAAATATTAAGAGTACATAAAATGCTTACCTCCTAATAAAGCATGTTTTCTGCTCATCTTCATCCAGTTTGTCAGAAAACCTCCCACAACAATATCTATTTTCACAACTTCCACAACAGAATTGAAAGAGGGAGCATTTTTGTTCTCCATGAAACTTTCCCAAAGAGTCAATGTAACTTTCACAGTCATCAGATAAGGCTGAAAACAAATACATAAGAATTAGGACCAACACATATCACAAAAGGGCAGACTGGTTGGGATGCTAGTAAACAAACATAAATCTTAGGCATTACACTTACTGTAATATGCAGCACAGAAGGGGGGTATTCACCTGGGAGTTTTGTGAGCCCATTGATAAAACATTTGGAATTAGAGTTTATTTCCTGAAGGTTTGGTTAAGGAAGTTTGTTGTCTTTTAGAAAAATAAGACCTTGTGCGTCTAATCTTTTCTTAAACCCCAGACTATAAAATGGTCACTTCTAAGTCACAAGTATATTCAGGATGACCTTGTCAAGCGCTGAACAATGTTTTTAACTTTCCAACCATGTCTTTTTGTGTGCTGAGGGACCACAGCTGCAGATTTTGACATGTTTTATATTCTTGTGGAAGCAGACTCCTAGCATGCCAAAATATGAATGCTGTTAAAAATGACTTGTCTGGGAAACACTTCGAAGACCAACAAGCAATCATCTCAGTAAGAAGTGTCATTCTGGGAGAAGACTGTGAATATTCCACTTCAAATCTGATTTATTAAAATTAGATTTTTGTGCAAGAATACCCTGCAACTTCTTTAGGCAATTAGAAGAAAGCAAATAAATTCAGAGAATGCAACACATTTAATGCTGAAGAATCTCTTTAGTCAAATTATTTAGTGTTATTTTATTTTCCTGCAGAACAAGGAGTACCCATTTTTACAGCTGAGCATTTTATGGAAGCAATCTGAATGCAATAGTTTACTCAAGGGTGCAAGTAAGGAGTGAGATTATGCAAACAACAATATACTGTATAAGACTCTCACGTTCCATTAGGGACATCTGACACGTTTCAAACAGCCTCAGCTTTAAATATTATTATGTTATATAATTACCAATACCCCTCCAGGCTTTCGTGTTATGGCTTTGCTTACAATACTTAAAGAGCAATTTAACAGTACTGTTAGGTGTTTGAAACGCCTATTGTTTCAGCGTCTCACCTTTAAAACAAAATACCGTTAAAAATGACTGGGAAGTATCATGGGATTCTGCAATACAGCTGTCAAATACTGCTCGAGATTGTATTCTTTTATGTGAAATCTTGTGTGCACTCGTCGTTATTTTATTCAGAGTGATTTCGAAAATAGAAAATAAGCATATTCGCATGTTCAAGGTGTAAACAGTTATAGTTGCTGACTTTTTTTCCCCTTAAAAAATTCCCAGCAATGGGTATGATAGTGGTTTTCTGTTTGTGAATTGCAGTATATCAGCCTGTATAACTTGCTTACGTTTGTTACCAAGGCAAGAAGAGCTCTGCCCCCCTGAATAGGTTGGAAGGGCGCGTTGTAAAAAAAGCACATCAAAAAGTAATTGGGTTACTATACATGTACTAAATTTACGTACGGGAGGTACAGATTGTTTGAATATAGTATTAATGAAAAGAAGTTACAAATGTAACTTAAATATTTACTGACCACATACCGTACGCATTTAATGTGCTCTCACTCCGTATTGCACACGGACCATACGTTCAGTACGCTGCCATTCACTCACACGTACACATTTAAATAATATACATGTACAAGTAAAATAGCAGCCAAACGAGAATCCAAGGAAATGCAAGGCTTCAAAAACAACTCAGTTAAGTTCTAGAGTTTAATATTCCAATCACACAAAAAATATTATGTGGACATTAAAGAGCGCCGTGATGATGGCTTTTAGAAACACATGATTCACTTTCACTTCCTTGGAAGACTTGAGGGACAAATGAAAGGAAAAAAGGATCTCTTTATATGTTAATTAAAACGCGTTTGTTCTCAGTCAATACCACGGTGTCTCAGTAGAAAGCCTGTGAAGGTTCCAACACTTTTTTTTTCCTATTCAAAACCGCATAGACGATTCCTTATCTGCCAGAATCGACAGAAAGGGGTGGAGAACTGTGGATTCTTCAGCATTGTCCTTTTTTTTTTAAAAAAAAGAGAGAGATAAAGCACACAGCGATTGTTCAAACTTACCAACAGGAACAAAAACAGCAAGTGTGATAAAAATAATTAAAGAAGTCCCCGCCATGTCTCTTCTCATTGTCGAGACTCCTACTTAAAACACTGCTGTCCGATGGTAACAGGATATTTTCTACGCCCTCCCTTTTTATTAAAGGGGAATCCCACGCTTTTCCTCAACTGGCCCGCTTCTTCCTGTGTGTTTGGTATACTGTATACTCTTGAGATTACTAGCCATGATTGTGCAGATCATGGTCGTCATACGGATCGGCCTAAAACACCTTTTCTTTAAGGTTTAGGAACGCTTTGAAGCCATTGATCAATCACCGCGTAATTTATTCAGTTCAAGGAACTAGATCATAGACGGTCGAAGAACATTCCCTTTTCTATTTCGTCCGAAGCGCTAAATTACATAGTCTAGCAAATCACCAGCTAACATGATCCCAGTTAAACTGACACGGGTCTTTGGTGTAGAAAGAAGTGATGATTTGGTTAACTATTGACATCTGCTTAACTGGAGGTACCCAGTCGAAGAGCAATTCTCCATCTGACTAAGTCCTTATTGCAACATTGTTCGTTGTTACCTCAAACCATATAAATAGTTTAATTAATGTATTTATACTATTTTTATTTTTGAGCTATTTTACTATTTCTATTTGTTAACCATTTCAAAGTTAATATTAACCTCACAGGGGCGGTGCAGTGGGTCTGGGGCTAAGAACCTGTGGCTGGAAGGTTACCAGTTCGTAACCCGCTGCTGGCAGAAGAATCCTGCTCCGTTGGGCCCATGAGCAAGACCCTTAACCCCAACTGCTCCAAGGGCATCATATAAATGGCTGACCCTGCACTGTGACCCCAAGCTTCTCTCCCTGTCTGTGTCTCTCAAGTTGGGAGCAAGTTGGGGTATATGAAAAAGACAAATTCCTAATACCGCCAATAAAGTATATGTATATGGCCAATAAAGTGATCTTATCTACCATATCTAGACTTAAATAGTGCTTTTCAGATAATGGAGACTCCCCTCCACCACCACCAGTGTGCACCCCCACCTGGATACAACAGCAGCCATAGTGCACCAGCTCTCAGTGGAGAGCAGGGCGATGAAGCCTCTTCCATGAGTGGTAGAGGCCAGGACTCCAGGGTAACACCCCTACTTCCTCTCGAGAAACACCCTGGTATTTCTAATGACCACAAAGAGTCAAGAACTCAGTTTTACATCTCATCCAGTGACTTTTTACACTATAGTCCCCACCACTATACTGGGGCATTAGGACCTACACAGACTTCAGGGTGAGCGCCCCCTACTGGCCCCACTAATACCTCTTCCAGCAGCAACCTTAGCTTTCCCAGGAGGTCCAGGTACTGACCAGGCTCACACCTGCTGAGCTTCAGTAGGTGGCCAGTTGTGATATAGCTGTTTCAGGCTGATATAGCTGCTGGTTATAACCACAACCTCTGAAATCATTGTACTTTTCAAACAGATTTTGTAACTTTCATCAGCTTTATTGTTAGTCTATTCGGTGTTAAATAAAATATAAAAACACATCAAAATATATTCATCCAAAATTCTAAAACTACACCATGGTTGGACACGAGTACTGTAGAATGCAGCATAATTGTCCTGATTCGGAATAAATAACAAGAACCCCAAGATTGAGATAGACCTCTGTGACTAGTTTACTTTTCATTTTACAGGGAAGAAAATCTTAATATTTACATTTTTATCTGTGCCTTATAGATGCAACACACAACCAACTCCTACCTCCTAGGTAGGAATTTTATAAAACCTAAGAATGAGCGCTCCTAAAACGAAGTAGCTGTGTCTATTTTTAAGTAGCTGTTTCACACTGCCCCCTATTGCATGAACGGTATCATTATAAATGTCATATTCTTTTCTAAACTATTTCCTGTTTTCATTTGGAATAAATCTTGGCGTTCAGGTTGACTTTACCCATCATTCTGAAATACATATTTCCAATTCTGTCTCTAAAAGTCCCACAGCTCCCCTTTTTTGTTAAGTTCACATAATTTAAGTAACAACAGGATGAATTGGAGGTCTTGTTAGGTTGCTATTTGTAGCATTTTTTTTTACTTTCAGCATTATTATCTTAATCTTAATCTTGCCATCTTAGTTGTTGATTTCTTTACAGAAAGAACTTAGTGAGTGAGAATCAGTAATGGCTTTTCTGAAAAGCTACATTTTTCCACTGGCTCACACCAAGGATGTGCAGGTGTGACCCTGATCAGGTATGAGCTCCAAGCAGGTCAGGTGAGCCTGATCAGGTGAGCCTGGTCAGTACCTGGATGGGAGACCTCCTGGGAAAAACTAAGGTTGCTGCTGGAAGACAGTAGGGGGCGCTCACTCTGCAGTTTATGTGGGTCCTAACGTTCCAATATAGCGATGGGGACACTATACTGTAAAAAGGCACTGTCCTTCTGATGAGACCTTAAACCAAGATCCTGACTCTCTGTGGTCATTAAAAGTCCCAGGGCGTTCCTCAAAAGGAGTAGGAGTGTAACCCTGGTGTCCTGGCCAAATTTCTCATTAGCCCCTACCAAGCCTTCTAATACTCCCCATCTATGAACTGGCTTCATCACTCTGCTCTCCTCCCCACTGAGAGCGTTCTGGCGCACTATGGGTGCCGTCACAGCATCCAGGTGGATGCTGCACATTGGTGGTGGTGGAGGGGAGTCCCCATTACCAAAAAAGCGCTATATAAGTGATTGGATGAGTTACCACCACTCAAGACACACAATTACATTTGCAGATAACTCTGTTACCGTTAGTTTGTTGCAACTAGATGAGTGGGGCCATGGGCCAGTTGTGCATGAGTTTGCCACTTGGTGTGAACAAAGCTATTTGCAGTAGAAAACAAAGACATGGCTATTGATTTCAGGAAGAACCCTCAGACCCCACTCAAACCTGCATCAGGGGCGAATCAGTGGATCTGGGGGATAAATATAAGTATTTAGGAAGCGTTCTGGACTGCAGGTTAAATTTTGAGACAAGCAACAATTACATTTTCAAAAAAGGGTAACAGTGTTTATTTTTCCTTGAGAACGCTAATAATTTATTGTTAATCATGCATTACCAGTCTTTTATTTTATTCTGCTTTAACATTTGCCATGATCTGCTGAGGAGTAAGGACAAACTGGGGAGTACTTTCAGACCTATGTCAGAAAGTCATTGATGCCGATCTTTCGGCCCTATCCCATGTCTGTTACTTACAAGACTTGAGAAAACCATATCCCATCCTAGAAGACCCTTCACAATATTTGTTTAATGGATTATAACTACTCCCCTTAGAATGCAGATACAGATTTCCCAATTTAAAAAACAAACAGGTTCAAGTTTCTCATTTTGACCTGCCACCATAACCTTGCTCATGATTCTCTTGCTCATATTTATGTCTATCGTATGTGTGTGTTTTCTTTATGTTGTCACCTGATTTAAAACTAATTGCCCTTTGTGGATAATAAAGAGTGTCTTACTCTCTCTAGGTGTAGAGGGATTAAAGAGCAAGCAGCAGTATTTCTGATTTTATTCTGAAATTCACAGTGGATCACTGGACAGAAACTAAAATGGGCAATACAGTTTTAGTTAAAATCTGAGCAGCTGAGTTCTTAACATGCTGTAACTTGTAAACTTGTAACTTTTTTTGGATACACCAGCAAGCGCCGAATTCTTCTAAAGCTGGTAAAAAAAACAAAATAAGACTTGGTTTTCTGCAACAGACTGGGACAACTATGTATATGGATGTTAAGCATGATGTTACAAAGCCGGAAAAAAAAAACCTTCCCAACACTGAACATGAGTTTGAAGCTTAAAGATCAGGCTGTAAACCCAGTAATACAGAACTGTTGAATAAATCAATCAAACGATTTGAAGTATTTTAAGACTTTCTTATGAGCGTATTCTAAATGGCAGATATAATTTAATAAACCGTACAGCGTATTTGGTAGGAAATTCTCATTGCAATCCCCAGAGGGCGATCTTTGCCTAAAATAAATGTTTCAAATGAAGTTTCCGTCGGTATTAAACGCCAGTGTTCTTTCGACAAGCTTCCTGTCCCCACCACCCCTAGCAACAATTTTCTATACAAATTTATATTTTACTTTCAACCGTGCTGTGACGGAACAGGCGAGAGTTTAAGACACTGGCTGTCAATATTAATAGCACAAATCTTTCCTAACCGAACTGAAAACGACCACCGTCGCCCTAAGGCTCAGGAAGGCTGTTGCGTAGTGACGCAGAAATCTGGGTCAAGGCGGGGGCCGGCAGCTGAGCTCGCCGCTCTCGCGAGAGTGACGATCGCGCAGTTCCCTTAAAGCCGGTTGCGTGGCGATGCCCTTACGTTCGTCCTCAGTGCAGGGCAACAGATATCATCTTTTCCGGCGGTACAGCCTATTCAAAATAACAAGCCTCCTTCCCTTAAAAAAAAAAAGGTTTTTCATTGTCATAGACACACGGGAAAAGACATACAGTTTAGCCTGAAGATCTCAGAGGTAAGAAAGGTAGGCGTTTTGATTTGTTAGATTTAATGTGGAGTTACTGTACTGTACTGTATTCTTTTCCGACTTGAAGGCCATTATGAACTTCTGTTTCCTGCTTCGTAAATGATTCATATATATATATAACGCCTTGGTAGCTTGTCATAAATGTGTAGTTTATGACTTTTTATGCATAAGTGTTTAAGAAAATAAAAGAATTTTGCTTATAGTCCGTATGTGGTACACGACTATTTACATGTGGTTAAATTATTCTGTAAAGAGTACTTAGTTTGTAAATAGGTTTTTTTTTGGGGTAAATATTTTATCATTAAATCCATCAGTTGTATCCATTCGGCGTGCTGTTTTGTTAAATCACAGGGGGTCTCTGGCATCATAAATAGTTTTTTTAGCAGCAGATTTATCAATATTCGGTGTTCAGTCTGTCTTGTTTTTTAACGCTTATATTTAGTCCTTTGTATAGCAAGTCGTACAACAGTACACTCCTACCTCGGATTTGAACCTGGGACCCCCTTGGTCACTGCACATGGCTGATGCACACAGGGAGTTTGGGAATAATCTGAAAGATCTAAAAGATACCACTTGGATATATTTACCACTTTTTTACTTATGTGAACTTGACCCGTAACGCATTAGAATTTGTAGATGTAGGTTATTAAAGGAATTTCTTTAACCAGCTGTTCTCTCAGCTTCACACCTATGTAGGAGTGACTTGGTAGCAGTGTCTAATCCACTGCTGTAATGGTCATTGGCCTGACATGCCCTGCCCAGTCCAGTTTTTCAGGTACCCCAGGAATTAATTTGACGTACCTCCAGGGACATGGTTGTGCGTGACCCTTTTTTTCCCTGTGATCAGAGGTGTCAGATGACAGTGATCCTTCCATACACAAGCCTACTTTATGTTTTTAAAAAAGAGACTGCGCTTTATTGAACTAGAATATGCAGGACTGAGAGCGCATCTTGAAGTTTGTGCCCTCTCAGTGGCCACAACGGTTTTCAGCTCATGTAGGTGCAGATATAAGTGTGTGGTATACCTGCGTATTATAATCGAGCCCTTAATTTGCCCATATCCCTCACACAAGAGACCCATACACCATACTGTAATTACAGTGCCTATTACTTTTGTGCAAATCTGTGGCAAATTACACTGTTTTTGTTTGTGGTTTCACTATGGATGTAAGGTGTACACAACAAGGAGCAAAGCACTTCCTTGCTTGGTATAAACCAAAATTTCACTTCCTTATCTTGAACATCCTTTTCTCATTATAGAAAGGTTAAGACTTTTTTTTCATATACCTTTTCCTGTTAGATGATGTGAAATTTGCTATGGTTGTATACATATATGACTTAAAAATCTTTATCAGTTTATATGTTTTATATTTAATAATGCCTGTGAACTAGCTATGGTTATTGTTGGTGTTTTCTTAAATTTCCCCTTTAGCATTGAGTTTTAGGCAGTTTTTATAGGAAAATCGTTCCTTGAGATTTTTTCTACCTTTAAATTAAGAACTTCTTTCCTGTTTTGTTTTCTCTTTTAAACGGTTTGTCACATCATGTAAATATTGTTAATGTAGTCCTGGATTGTGGTTGTAGTCCAACTATGTCATTGTTTTTGTATCTGATACTTTTTGGTGTACTTTTGTGATTTCATAGTCCCTCCCAGAAACTTTCTGATCTAAGGTATGTCGAAACAGTTGATTTCTCAAGAAGCTTCTTACGTAGAGTTAAGTAGGTGGAGCTTTGTCATAGTTTTGCTTAGGGGGTTTAAAAGCTTGAGTAACAGACTGATGCGGCACCATTTACAAATTTTAGGAAAAAAGCAAAAAGCCATCAGCAGTATTAAAATGTTCCTTCCCAGGTATGTAAAATTTAAATTACATAGTATGATTTTTCTTGAAGCGTCTGTTTTTTGTATTTTAGCATTTGGGATTTCTAAGATACTCTATCCTGGTGTCCCTCCAAGCTGTCAGGTCCAGTGGTTGTTATGGGAATGTCAGTAGCAGCTGATACAAGGGTGGACTGCATCCATTTTTTGCAGTTTTTCTGTATTTGTGACAGAAGCCTGGATATTGCCATGTTCCGTACTCTGTTTGTGTTGGGCTCTCTAAAAAACGAATGGGAAACCTTCAGGTAGAACAGGGATGCAGAAAGCCTATCTTTTGGAAGACAAAATCCTGTTTCTGGAATATTTATTTTATCTGACACCAGGATAAAATAATTTTATCCTGTTAAAAGTTTGCCGTTTTGTTGTTACAGCATATTTTGTTTAAAATGAGTAGATCTCTGTCAAAAGATTTTTTCTTACTTTTTGGATGTATGGATGTATGTGGAGCACAGTAAAGATGTCTGGTGTCCAGCGGTCTTACAGAAGATCAAGAACATTTTGATACATGGGTTGACTGATGTGTCTTACAAATGATTAATTTCAGACTTAAATGCTTGAGTCAGGCATCCTGTGTTTTAAAGACTGGTAATTGTACTTACAATGAAAATGTAAATTATGTATGCGATTTTAGGTTTCTTATAAAATGTGAAGTATCTACATTAGCATTTGACACACAACTGTACTGTCTTTCAGGAATTATAAAAGGAGCAGTTAAGCTTTGTAAATCCTGTTCTTGTGATCAGCAGCTGAAGTGATGTTGTTTATGGTTCTCGAAGGCTAGTATGTTACAGTGTGGTTTGGGAATTAGTTTCGATAAGTTTAATAGAAGAGTGCGTGACTCTGTTCTGGTCACGGTGGCAAGGGATGTTTGACCTCTGGTTACTTGCGTGTTCTGTAGCAGTTTTCCGTTTTGCTGGTCTCGAATTAGACTGAAACTGCCATGGTTAATTATTTTTTTGGTATTTCAGGTTGAGAGCATCCAAGATGGACACCATCATTCGCCGCTGTCCCTTCCTGTCGCGGGTCCCGCAGACGTTCCTCCAGAAAGCTGGCAAGTCCCTGGTTTTCTATGCCCAGAAATGTCCTGTGATGATGGATCTGGCATCTAGGCCCTTTGCTCGTGCCCTTTCCACATCTGCTGCGAAGTGCCAGGAGACCAAGGAAACCTCTCCAACAGATTCAGGTGAGCAGTTGATGTTGGTGGCAGTGTGTTTGTGTGTGAAACTACTGTGTACATTAACACATTTTAGTTATTTATATTGCATTTGAAGGTCATAGGGCAGTTTCTTTTGCAAGCTGAAGCTGAAACAAATCATTCTGTGACGCATTCCAGTTGGTTACACTTCAGTTGTGAAGGGGGATAAAAAAATAGAAAATGACATGTAGTGAAATTGACAAGTGAGTGATCATTCTAGATTATCTAGAATATCTAGATTATCAGCGTTTGTTTAGTGGAAATGTGAATGTCCGTGCTAAACCAGCGGGGGACCGTGTAAGGGTAAAATCTAGAATGTAAGCTTTTTGCGGAGCTGTTTACGTGAGATTTGCATGTGTTTAAATTTAGCCTCCGGGCAGCCTCCCAAGCAACCCAGTCTGCCTCCAGGCCACCCCGTGCCCCCAGCGTGCCAGGCAGCTGCTTCCAAGTGCCCTTTTCTTGCTGCCGAGATGGGGCAGGGAAACAGCAGTGTGTTCCGGCAGGCCAGCGTGGAGCTGCAGGAGGATGTGCAGGAGATGCATGCTGTCCGGAAAGGTGAGGGTTCAAGTCGCATGATTTCTATTGTTCTCTTAACTTATGCTCAGCGTATTTAATGCAGTCAGAAATTAAATAAAGATCTGCTTGATTGAGTGCCTAATGCAGTATAACTTACCTCACCTTTGTTTGGAGGTATTTTGGCTTTGGTTCTACGTACCTGGTGCTGACAACTGGGGTTTTTAATTTTAATCGTACAAGTATTTTTTTTCTGCGCAGAGTTGGCTGAATCCCCTGTAAACCCAACTGTGGTCAACATCACCAAGGCGGATGGGGAGGACCAGAGCAGTCTCCTGAAGAATTTACTGAAGCAACGTCCCACCAGGGTCTCCCACCTTCTGCAGGATAACATGCCCAAATGTAAGCAAAACTATCCGATAGCGAATCGTCGATCATAATGTAATACTTATTTGTCACGCAACATGTCTGATCCGTCTTCTTGACTTTTATGATCACCTCTGAAATGATGCCATTAATTGTTACTCAACAGCTATTGCAGATGTTAAATATAGAGAACTTTGGAAATGTTGCCTTTAAAAAGTTAGATGTTGCAAAAGGTGCATGATAGTCATTTCCTAACAACATTTTCTTCTGTCTCCCCCCCCCACCCCCTCCGCAGCAGTTTCTACTTTCCATTATGACAAGTTCTTTGAAAAGAAAATCGAGGCCAAGAAGAACGATCACACTTACCGGGTGTTCAAAACGGTGAATAGGAGAGCAGAGACTTTTCCGATGGCGGATGATTACTCTGGTTCGCAGGCCTCGAAGAAAGAGGTCTCTGTGTGGTGCAGCAATGATTACTTGGGCATGAGCCGGCACCCCCGTGTTGTTCGCTCCATCATGTGAGTGCTCCTAGATCTTGTCGGGAAAGATGAATGCATGTCCTTACGATTTGCTGATAAACATGAAAGTGCAAAGCACTAATAAGGATATTTTTATCCACAGGGATACTTTACGGCAGCATGGCGCTGGAGCGGGAGGAACCCGTAACATCTCTGGAACGAGCAAATTTCATGTAGATTTGGAGCATGAGTTAGCAGATTTGCATGGCAAAGATGCAGCGCTGCTTTTCTCCTCTTGCTTTGTGGCTAATGATTCAACGCTTTTTACATTGGCCAAAATGCTGCCAGGTATGCAATGTAATGTCAGTGCAATGATGATCTGGGGCTTAACGAATAGAAATAATTTCTGATAAAACATATGATGTTCTTAAAACTTTTTTTTTTGTCTTCAGGCTGTGAGATTTACTCAGATGCTGGGAATCATGCCTCAATGATCCAGGGAATCAGAAACAGTGGAGTTCCCAAATTTATCTTTCGTCATAATGACGTTAATCATCTTCGAGAACTGCTGAAGAAGTCCGATCCCTCCACTCCAAAGATTGTGGCTTTTGAAACGGTCCACTCAATGGATGGTGAGCAGAAACCGTTTTCTTTCAAGTATTCACTTGTGTTCAGTTGCTCAGAACGTAAGTGCAGAGCAGGATTTAGCTGGTGAAGTTTGTTTCTGTGCAAAATGAAATGGGGATTGCAAGTCCAGTTGAAAGATGTTATCATTTTAACAGCACTTAAGGTTAAGAAATGTATTATAGTTGTGGAAGAAAAGGAAATGAAAGTTTCATTCATCTTATGTTACAGGTGCTGTGTGTCCACTGGAGGAAATGTGCGATGTTGCCCATGAATTTGGGGCCATCACATTTGTTGACGAGGTACATGCAGTTGGGCTGTACGGAGCTCGGGGTGGAGGAATAGGAGACCGAGATGGGATCATGCATAAGATGGACATCATCTCTGGAACACTTGGTAAGCACTTAGTACACCAGCACTTCCGAAACACCAAAACTGCAAAGGCTCTTTTATTTACCAGAGTAAGGTATACATTGCTAGTTCACAGTTTTTGAGTATATACTTTTTGTAATTTCCTCCAGGGGGGGGAAAATTACTAAATGAAGAAAGAGGAATAGTGTAATTGAATGAGAAATCTGTTTTCAAAAACAGATGGGTCCGGGCCCATATTAGGTTCCTAATTTGCCGGTAACACTATAAGACAACAAAGGCTTTGAACCTGTTGCTAGGAAACCCAGTCCTAATCTGTTTTTATTTCAGCCCCTAGAGACCTATCCTCTCGTTAGGAGACAGAGCTACATGCATGCTAATGCATTGGATTAACAACATTATGTACATAGGCAGACTTAATGTAAGAGTTAAGATTATCTGACCATATCGATTTGATTACTCTGCATTTGCAAGTAAAATAATCTTTTTACCAGTTTGTGTTTTGTTTAGGATGTTAGTAATTACAGATTGATGAGAAATTCTTAGACCGATATTTCTATTAAAGAACTATGAAACCCATACACCCAATTTTCCCCAAAGACTTCAGTTGTACATTTTATTTTTATTGATTAGAAATAGACATAACTGTTCTAACGTCAAATTGTTGTGTAATGCAAAATAATCACCTGAAAATTCTTCATTCTAAAATTTTTCTGTGTATCCTGCTAACACTCGGTTAGAAAGGTTAGTGTAGTTATTTGGTGTTTAGTTCCAAACAGTCTCTAATTAGACTAAATCTCTCATTAAGTTCTAGCTGTAATCATATTTTACTGTGAATTGCAAAAAAACCAAAGCTGTCTTTGTGCTGTGGATCTTTCTCTATCTTTTTAACCGTAATTCAAAAGGAAAGTCAGATATTTATCTGAGTATACTATTTCTTCTTCTTTTTTTTGCATTATTTTTGGTTTCGGTCTTCCTCATCATAGAATAGAATTACGTTAACAGTTATGCCATTCATCTTTCTGGTAGTGTAGCTCTAGCATGTGTTTCCTGTACAGCTAAGAAAGCATTTCTAAGAAGAGTGATAGTCAATGGATGAGTCACCAGTTTCAGATTTAGTGCCTTGATTGAACACATGGAAAAGACACTTGATATTTTGCTGCTGACATCATATGGTGGGAAAAGTAATAATAGACTTTCAGTTGCATCTGGAAGTCTCTTCAAAGGAAGGATTATTTAGTCCAGGTCTCCATTTCTAACCATCTATAAACAATATATTAGGATGTTATTAGTATTCTTTTTTAAAATATTCCACTCTAGGGCTAGGAATATCTTTCAGGCTTTGGACAGGATAGGGGTTTTCTAAACTGATGTCTTGTTTATCACATTTGGAATACTTTGCAAACCCTATTCCAACGTTGTTTCTGGATTCTTTTGACTTTCAACGGAAAGGAGACATTTTAGGTTATCTGGATGATTTTTTTTTTCCCCTTGTAGATGTGTTCTTTTGCGAGTCAACTGCTATGGGATTTATGTGGCATAACTAAGTCAATTCTAAAGCAGGGACTTATTTAGGACTTTATTTATTCTTTAGGCAAAGCATTTGGCTGTGTGGGCGGTTACATAGCCAGCACTGCAACCCTGGTGGACACTGTGCGCTCCTACGCCGCCGGCTTCATCTTCACCACATCCCTGCCCCCTATGCTGCTGGCTGGCGCCAAGGAATCCATTCAGGTGCTGAAGAGCGAGGAAGGAAGGGCTTTGAGACGGAGGCACCAGAGAAACGTCAAGCTCCTCCGGCAGATGCTGATGGATGCTGGTCTGCCTGTGGTTCATTGCCCAAGTCACATCATCCCGATCAGGGTGAGTCCTGGAAAGTGCTTTTCTTCCTTATACAGCCTTGTGGTACATGATGACTTCCTGCTGGGTTTCTGTATAAGACCTCTTTCATGTTACTAATTGTACACTGACTGACGGGAAACGGGATGCACTACTTCTTGTTTCAGTTACTGATCATAATTATTTTCCCCGTGAAAACTGATGTTGAGTTGGAACCTAAAGGTAATAAATCAGAAAATGCATAATTTATAGAACGTTTGACACATTGGAAAAACCATTGTATGCCTGTTGTATATGAAACAGAGTAAATATTTCTAATAAATAAAAAATAATTTATTTCTCTTCCTGTTTTCTTTCTTATGTTTTTTAGGTGGCAGATGCGGCAAAGAACACCGAAATTTGTGATATAATGATGAGCAGATACAACATCTACGTGCAGGCCATTAATTACCCTACTGTTGCCCGTGGGCAAGAACTCCTTCGAATTGCCCCTACACCTCACCACACCCCACAGATGATGAATTACTTTCTTGGTAAGATGTTTCAAATGGGAAAAGAAATCTATTAAATATTTATTTGAAGATAAATTACCACAGTAAGTTCATTTAAGTGTCCACTCTTGGAAGTGATCATAAGGCATTCCAGATTTATTAAATGCATGTAAAATGGTTTTCATGACTAGTATATACATGTGTAGAAGCCAAAAACTGATTTGTTCTGTTTTTCTTTCCTATCAGAGAAACTGGTGAAAACTTGGAAGGAGGTTGGCTTGGAGGTAAAACCTCACTCTTCCGCTGAGTGCAACTTCTGCAGGAGACCAATACATTTTGAGTTGATGAGTGAGAGAGAAAAATCCTACTTCAGTGGCCTAAGCAATTTGATATCTGCTAGTGCTTAACATCAATTCATGTCCAGGATCTTTTTTTTTTCTCCATGTATCACAGCTTCATGTATTTTTAAAGCATTAAGACACTGTAAGGTTTTAACACTCTGCAGTCCTTCTCTTGTACCAAGAACTACTGGTACATATGAATAAAAGTTGGTAAAATATAGCAGCTGTCTTTTGTGTTTTTAATGGAGCAAGGTCATAGTGAAAATAAAAGGTGATGTTCTACAATGCTACATTGTGTTAGATCTCAAAACGTGTGACATACTCGAGGTTATAGCAGTGACAACTTCCAAGATTCTTAGTAGAGTATACATTGTACTGTAGATCTGACAAATGTATAACTTTTAAAATTGGTATGAGCAAATCCCGCAAAACACCTGGATAAAACGAAATGCTTCTGGTTAACACTCCTGAAGCTTGCATGTAGACTTTTTAAATTAATAATGAAAAGGCTGAATGAGTCAAAGGGTCTTATTTAAAGGGGATGAGAGGATCCATTTTCCCAGGAAAACTTGCTAACTAAAATAGCACACAGATTTTACTCAATCTGACACAGAAGTGTTTGTGCTAGGAAAACTATAGTTAATATCTTAATGTTTGTAACACCAAATAATACAATGGATTTCTTTCCACTGTGTGAGCATGCTACATGTTGTTATATTTGCAAAAACTAATTTTAAGAAGGGAGTCAAAACATAATTCATAATAAAGAATATCAGCGTGAGGTTTTCCAGGCTATAAAAATAAGTGTGTGTAAAGTATATACTACATACTGTCAGGTCAGGGTTACAGATTGAAGTCTTGATTTTTCAAATCTGTGTTAAAATTAAAACGTGAGAAGACAACTTTGCTGCTTTCTTCAGATTGCTGTATTTAAGAATATCCTGGTTTGAGTTTTCTCCATATCTTGATTGCGTGTTAGTAGAATAGTACTGAAATAATCTGATTTAAACATTTACTGTACTATAGATAAGAGTTTGCATAAACCACAGAATACAAGGAAGTTAATGTGAAAGAAGTTTTGTTTCAAAATATGTGTTTCACGGAATGCTTTTACTCAATCGGCTACAACAATAAGGAAGTCCTAATACAAACATTCAGAGAACAGGAAACAAAAACAGGCGTGTTCCACTGTAATTAAATCTGTCCTACACAATCTACTACCCACAAGTACATGCACATTTAAGTACAGCATTTCCACAAATTTTTATTGAAATGTAAACTGTGCATATTGGTGCAGATGGTGTTAAAACCACAGCTTAATTCCGCCTTCTTAAATGGTTTTCAAAGTGATTTCTACCAGGGCTACGTAGTATTGTAGAAGTTAAAATGTACAAATTTTGTTTGAGATGAATGTATACAACAAAAAACTATCTTCCATATGAACAAGGTCTGGGGATTTCTGCTGTATGGACACACATGAGACGAATAGAGCTCATCCTGGAATGTGGTTTCTTTGTGAAATAGGCAGTGAAGATGAAAAACCTATACATAAAAAGGCTTACTAATACTTAAATTTGCAGGCTCTTCGTTAGCAAGTAAGAATTGGAGCTTGCCTGTATTTACAAGGAGAGACAGCAATTTCTTACCTTCATTCAGAAACACACTGCCACATTTTTCCCCCCAAAATACTCTGCTAATAAATTTGAACACGGCTAACCCATATACGTTGTAATCCTGGATAAACCGCATATAGGCTTATTAAGTCAAAGGAAAAGCCTTTGATCTTTGCCTCCACAGATGTCCTGAAAAAGAGGGCAGATTGGCCTGATCAGATAAAGGCAACCGTGCAGAGTGCGTAGTGCCAGATCACTGAAAAGAAAGGAAGAAGGAAAAGATGACGAAAAAAAGGGATCCGTCTGTAACAAGAGTACACCTGGTGACCCAGATACCAAACTAGGTAATTTCTTTTCCTTTGTGTCTAACACAAACACATAAGGCTGCCCTACTTTCACATGGATTAAAATATCTTTACTGATACACTGTCTATGGAAAACACAAATTGCTTCTGATCCATGCTGAGGCCAAACCTCTGTAGCAGTTTATCCTAGGTGCAGCTGAACTACGCTAGCTATTACTCCAATTTCCCAAAACACAGACAAGAAATTGATGTATTAGGAGGACTAGCCACATTTCCCTAATCAAGTGACCCATTTTTTTTTACAACAGTTTCCAACAGGCATTGGTTTAACTCAATTTCTTGGAAAACGGCGTAGAACTGAAACAAGTGTCACATGAAACAACTTAATTCAAGATAAAAGGATCCAGTACGTTGGACTTATACATGAATTGTGTCTAGTGGGTTTGTCCCTGGCAGGCGATCATGGAATCGGTGAACCAAAAATCGACAAAACTAATTCTTGATAAGCGTGAGGCAGAGTCACTTTCCCACGTGAAGTGAGGTCTGCAGCTCTTTAAGCAAAATCAAAACTAGAGCTCTCAAATGGCAACCTCACACAATAAACTGCTTTATAGCAGGCCCATTTAACATACAGCCTCCAACATTTGTCTTCTCTTCCGCACCAGGTAATTTATTTTTACACATTTTCACCATATACTGTTAATTTCACTCCTTACTCTTTGCCATAACTGTTGAGAAAAACATTGCTGTGAGTTCAAACATAAGAAGTCTTCTTACATTAAAAGGTTCAAGAGCTATCTTTTATTTCCCTCTCTTTATTTTGTGTACAGAACAAAATATGTTTGTGGAGAGAAGATGACAAGGGATGTCAAGGATAAACCTAGGCAACATTATTAGGCTGGTACTACTTGTTTACATATAAAGTAAATATAAACGTAATATATTTTATAGTAATTCATTTTTCAAGCATTTGTCATGAGAAACAGTTACTGTATATGAACAATTTAATATGCAATACAGTTTAGTGCTGTATTTTATTGACATCCTCATCTGTAGCCCTTATAAAATTAGCTTTCTAATCAGAATTTCTGCAAGGGAAGTGTATTTCTAGTGACATACAGATCTAGAACAACAAAAGTCAAATGTGTTTACTCTGACCAGCCATCAGATTTGAAAGAAAAAAAAACATACTTAAAATAAAAAACCAACATTAAACCTCATAACTAAATCCTTTCAACAGCTTTTTTTCTACAAAATCCCAGGTTTCCTGCCAAAAACATGAATGTTTAAATAAAAAAAAAACAGTTTTAATTTATGACACAAATAAAGCTCACTGTGAAGAGATAGCATGGGAAACACTTACTCATTTAACTAATTATTAATTTGTTCATCAATATTTCTATGTTGTTGTAAATTAATAGGATGTTGTGTTCTCATACCTAACTGGAAGACTAAGGTCACTTCCTTATGGGTTACAGGTACAGTACGTGTTGGCCCGTGAAAGAAAACGACCTGTAGAATTAAACTTTACCCACAGGGCCATTGTCTGAATAATTCAGTCCCAGCATTAAGATCCAAAGGATCATCAGCTCAAAACGCCCCAATGCCACTTCTCACGAACTTTCAAACGAAAAAGAAAGCTGCTGAAACTGGAAAGTTTTTTTTTGGAACATGTGTGATCTCTCATGGGAGGTAGTTGTTCATTAAAAAGCAACAAAACAGGTTGTAGATCCTGTCAGCTCCACTGCTACTGTAGGTAGCAGACACAAATGTACGTGACAGACTGCTCAAGATCTGCTTTCATTCCTCAATTAAGATCAGCTGCAGTGCTTAGTGCCAGAGGTGGCAATCTCAAATTAGTGCCAAGCAAAGCTTTGCTTATGGCCTTTGGGTTAAATACACATGCCTCACCTTACTTGGTATCCATAGTGACCCACTGAGATTAAAGAGGTTGCCCTAGCTTCAATCCCCTGAATAGTGTCAGTAAAGTACACCAAAGGTCTTTATTTTCACTGTGGGAAAAAGCCCGCTCAGAGATAAATGAATTACATGGAGAAATATCCCCAAAGAGGAAAGTACAGTACTAGAGAAGGAGAAAACAAATCCACAGCTCCATGTGCCTGAGGAGTCTGAATGATAACCAGCTACAAAAATTTGTTTTACTCATCTATTTACATCATGGTTTGTACAAGTATGTTGCTGCACTGCTTCGACCGGGAATTATGGTTAAACCCACACAGTTGCGATAAACAAGCGGGAATGTACTGGAATAAAGTATACAAGCTGTTACTGTCACCATGACTGCTGGTTAAGGAAGAAAATGATTTAATCTTCAAGGTGGAACAAAAAAAAGCAAGGCAGATGAAAGCTGGAAAAGGCCTGGAACACCTGAAGGTTGAAATCTCTGAAAATAAAATAAAAGAACTCTTTTATTCCCTCAAAGCCTGCCTTGTCACTGGCATAATCCTTCTTTATTTCAGGATTTGCCTTTCATTATTTGGTCTGGACTTTTACATTTGAAGCGGTGATCAAAATCTCATTAAAATTCTTTTCATTGCAGCTTTTCCTTTCATTTTTGTGTCGACAAACGAAGTTTGTACAGTACCAGCCCCTCGTGTTACTCCCTGTGAATTAAACAAATCCCATTTTTCCCCCAATATAATTGAGTTGAATCTGGTTTTGGGATGTCTACATTTCATGAAGGGATTTTAAAAAGGCTGGATTCGATTTTCTTTGTAATATTGTTTTGTGCAGTCCTCTATCTTCTGATGGCTTTATATGTCCTTTAGATATTGGTTAAATAATTGAAGATATCTAAAATGTGGGGGTTTCTGTGGAAGATATACCCATGGAGAGAAGTTTGTAACACCTTTTATCAAAGCGTTTAAGTACATATTTTCCAAAAATAGTCTTAATTACATGTAAGGAATATACTTTGTTCAGTGAACCATGCCCAGTTTCTATTTATTTCTATGAAAAAAGAGCTCTATTGTGTCATTTCTAATGTCCCAGAAACTTTAGCCATGTATACAAAAAGCCTGCAACCTTTCTCAAAAGCATTTTAAGAAAAAGCTGACAAAAGTCAAGGTATGTCACCCATACATAATAAAACTATAAAAATAGTTATTGATAAGTTTAATTTTAGAATTACATTGCATAAAGCATATGAGTTACTTCACAAATTAATTTTGTTGTCCATTTTAAACATTGAACATAACCAGCAAATGCCTATTCAACTACTACAGGAATATAAGAGCTTTTGTCGGCATGCTTGAATCAAGAAAAAAGAAGTGGATTTTTTA